CACACAGAGGAAAGGCCGTGTGAGGGCAAGAGAGAAGGCGGCCACCTGCAAGCCATGGAGAGAGGCGTCAGGAAAAACCATCTGTGCCAGCACCCTGATCTTGAACTTCTAGCCTCCAGAACTGTGAGAAAAGAAATGTCTGTTGTTTAAGCCACCCAGTCTGTGGTATTTTCTTATGGCAGCCCTAGCCAACTAATGCAGATTTATATGATTTATTCCTTTAGTGCCACTTACAACTCCCAGAGTAGAAAAATACCGTTAAGCACTAAAATATACTCCTTGTACTCTTATTTGAATTTAGAGTCATGAAAATATATTTTGAGCACAGTGATTTTATTTACATTATTTTAAACATTATTACTTTATCAGAAAATGTTTCTTCCTTCCTTCATCTATTTTAACAAACATATACTAAGTGCCTGCCATGGACCTGATCTTGGAAACAGAGTGATTAATGAGACATGGTCTCTGAGCTTGAAAAACCATCTTCAAATTATCAATTTGGGGGGCCAGCCCAGTGGCATAGCAGTTAAGTTCGTGTGCTCCACTTCAGCAGCCTGGGGTTTGCTGGTTCAGATCCCAGGCACAGACTTACACACCGTTTATCAAGTCATGCTGTGCAGGCGTCCCACATATAAAATTGAGGAAGATGGGCACTGATGCTAGCTCAGGGCCAATCTTCCTCAGCAAAAGGAGGAGAATTGGCGGCGGATGTTAGCTCAGGCCTAATCTTCCTCAAGAAAAAAAAAATATCAATCTGGTAGTGTGATTTTAATCTTGGTGTAAGATTTTCCCCACACCCTGAAACAGACTATTGATCAGAAACCTGAACTCTCTTAGGACTAGACTTACAATGTAGAAGGCTCGGTTTTAGAATTTACCTTTGTCCCACTCTCTAAGAATTCTCTCAGATACTTCATACAACAAGTATTTGTGGAGCCGTGTACCAGGAATTGTCTAGGCGGGTGCCATCGGTGAGCAAAGCAAAGGCCCTACCATACGGGAGCTTCATTCTAGTGATGGGGACAGACAATAAGTAAACAAGTGACACAGTATATCATGTGGTGACAAGAGTTAGAGGATGTATGGCATTCCAGGGTAAAGGAGGAGGCGGTGATTTTCTATACAGTGGTCAGGGAAGCACTAGCTAAGAAGGAGGTTTCAGCAGAGACCTGAATGAAGAGCAAATCATGGGGAATCTGGGAAAATACATTCCTAACTAAAGAAATAGCAAGTGCAAAGGCCCTGAGGTGGGAGCATGCTTGGCTTGTGCAAGAAACACCAGGGAGGCCAGTGTGTCTGAAGCAGAGTAGGCCAGAGGGAGAGGGGCTGAAGATCAGTGCAAGACTTGGATTTTTACCCCACATGAGACAGGAAGCCACGGAGGGTCTGAAGTGGAGAAGTAACGTGACCTGATAGCTGTTTTGAAAGGCTGGTTCTGGCTGCCGTGTTGAGAACAAACTATTGTGGGGCAAGGGTGGGAAGAGTAAGACTAGTTAGGAGGCTAGTTCATTAACCTGGGAGAGAGGTTGTCATTGGTCGGACTAGAATTGGAGTTGATGAGAAGCATTCCCGTATTAGTTATCTATTGTTGCATAACAGATTATCCCCAAAATTACTGGCTTCAAACAACAAACATTTATCATCTCACAGTTTCTGAGGTTCAGGAACCTGGGAGTGGCTTAGCTGGGTGGTTCTGGCTCAGAGTCCATCTCTCATGATGTTACAGTCAAGACGTCATCTGGGTCTGTATCACCTGAGGCCTTGAGTGAGGCTATAGGATCCACTTCCAGGAAGGAGAGCGCATGCACACGGCTGCTGGCTGGAGGCCTCAGCTCCTCACCACCTCGGCCTCTCCCCAGCTGCCTCAAGACATAGTAGCTGGCTTCCCCCAGAGCAAGTGATGAGGGAGAGAAAAAGGGAAAAATGGAGAAAAGACAGACATTGCAGCGTCATTTGTAACTTAATCTCCAAAGGGACATACCGTCACTTCTGCCGCATTCTATTGGCCACACAGGTTGACCTAGGAACAATGTGGGAGGTGATTATACAAGAGGCTGCATACTGGGAGGTGGGCATCTTTGGGAGCCATCTTGGAGGCTGCCCACCACAGTTCAGATTCTGGTTTTGCTGATGGATTACATATAGCACGTGAGAGAAGGAAAGGAACCAAGCTATTTGGGGGCCTGTTAAGTTTGAGAGCCTATTAGATACTCAGGTGGAGATGTCAAGGGGGCAGCTAGATAAATATCTGAGAGTGGAGTTTCGGGGAGAGGTGCAGGCTGGACATATCGATCTGGGGCTTGTCCCTTTATGGGTGGTATTTAAGGCCAGAGCATGGATCCAATCCCCCAGGGAATAAGTAGAGCCTGGCAAGAGAAGAGGCACAGAGCTGAACACTGGGCCCCAAGACCTGGAGAGGTGTGGAGGAGCCAGCAAGGAGACGCAGAAGGGGCCAGTGAGGCAGGAGAAGAACCAAGAGCAAGGAACTCCTGGAAACCAGGGGAAGAAAATGTCACCTCTGAGCAAAGAGCTGCTGAGAGGCCAAGGGAGCAAGAGTAACATGGTTCTGGTCCTCTGCCAGGACTGTCACCAAGGTGACCCAGATTCCCAGAGACGCGTCACCAGTGACACATCCAGTCACTGGTCATAAGTGGGAGAGGACCTTTGGATGAGAAAATCTATGGGGGGATCTTGGGAATATGACAAAGAGAGGATGGGAAAAAATAAACCCAGTCAAACATCATATACTTAACGGCAGCAGCAAACCGTGATTAAGAGCTGATTACGCACCACACGCGGTTCTAAACACGGTTCGTGTTGGTGAACGCTCACAGCGACCACAGAGAGTAACCATTTTATCCCCAGGGACAGGAGGAAAGGGGCTCACGGAGGAGGTGAGGGTCGACCCGTGGTCACCCAGCTGGGTAGAGGCAGCAGAGATTCAAGCCGTGGCCATGGCCCCTGATCCAGCTCTGTGCCCCGGGGCACCCCTCGTCTGCGGCAAACAGGCCTTTCTGGGGGAGTCACTGAGAAGCGAGGGGGATAAGGGGGACAAACAGCAGCAAAACTTGGAGTTTTCCCCTCTGCAGGGACTCTGATGCTGTAGGGGGTAAGAAGTGAGACACAGGAAACTTTTTACTTGCCAGGTGATTTAACTTGGCATCTTAGGGCTGCTCTTGGCAAGAGGCCACCAGGCAGTCCCGAGACGGCAGCTCTCAGAACTGCAATTTAAAAAGCGTGGTTGGTCCCCTCCTTGACTGAGTCCCTCCACTGCCCCTGTGCAGGCAGGGGCCACCAGGGAGCCAGGCTTCTGTTCGACTCATAAATTCCCACCTTATTGCCTGTTCTTCCAGGATCAGGAAACCCACAAGTGGTTATCCTGAAGCTTAGTGTTGCTCTGTCCCCACCCCCAGGATCTTATCAGGGGCCAGGGGTGTTGGAGGTGCTGGGGCCAGCAAGGGACAGGTGAGGGGTGGGAAGACAATCACCTCCAATCCATCTGGCCAGGTTTTTGTGGAAGTCAATCCGAAAATCACATGGTCTGTCAATGAATATTTAGCACTCACTACACATAGTTTTGAGGTAGGTGCTACAGGGCTTAGAAAATAAAACCGATCCTAACTTGAAAATGAAATGTGTTTATAGCAGTGCACCTCATAACTATCTGTGCAGAAACATGTCTATTCCACAATTAAATAAGTAGGCGTGGCCGGAGCTGATTTTTATTCAATGAAAAGTGGACAGTCTTTCCCCAGTACAGTTCTTTTTAAACCGGTAATGAATTTTATAACTACTTGCTATAAACGAGTTAACGAAATAAGATGCGTACAGTCTCAGGGATTGAAGGCAATCAATCTAGACTTTTAACTATTTGAGGAAACAAAATAAAACTTTCTCTCTCTAAAAGAACAACTATTACACGCTACAATGTTAAATAATAGAAGGCTTTAAAGACTGTTGATTATCAAAGATCCACCCAGAGTGTTCCTTTTAAAAAGAAGGTTAACATATTTGATTTTTCGACTCTCACTGCTTAGTCCTGGCAATGCCAATAGCTGGCTGTGGGACCCTGGAAACTCACATCCATTCTGAATCTCATTTGTGAAATGAGGATAATACTGTTTATTTCAGAAGGATATTGTAACAATAAAATGAGAGCATGTATATGAAAGTACTTGATATTAATATTAATAACCTTGTTAACTACGAATAAAATAATCTCTAAAGCACCTTCTAGTTTTAAAACGTTATTTTTAAGGAATAATTATTACAGAGTTTAAAGAGAGTTCTTGTAGAGACACATACTGAAGAAGTTTAGGATGAAATGATGTGACAACTGAGATTTGCTGCAAAATAATCCAGTGGCAACAGTGGGTTTGTATGTAGGTTTTGGCCATATTTTGAATATTGCTGAAGCTGGGTTATGGGTACATGGGAGTTTTTAAAAAAGCCATTCTGTCTACTTTTTATGTATGAGATTTTCATACTGAGAAGGAAAAAAGTAAACAAGAAATTGGAGGGTAATTTCTACTTTTAAGTCTAAGTACTGCTTGATTAAGATGACTGCACCCGGGATCCGAACTGGCAAACCCCGGGCCGCCGAAGCGGAACGTGCGAACTTAACCACTGCGCCACCGGGCCGGCCCCATAACATTTTATTTTTAACTAAAGTAAACCCATTTTAATTAAATATTATAGCAAAATCTTATAGTTACATAATTTAAGGTTATTAATGGAATCTACACATTAACCTGGAATCGCAAACACTTTAAGATTCATGTTTTGAGTCAGTTTAAATTTTTCCCAAAAGAAATTTCAGGATATGTTAACAATTTTCTGCTTTTTAAGAACCCAATATTCTATTGTATCTGTTATGTCTAATTACATAATTACATGTCATTATTTCAAATGATGATCTATTTGATACTTCTGTGACAAAATCTGTCACTAAGTAAAGAGAACTTAGCAATGAGCACGTGAGCTGCTCCCCCCTTTACCCTGAAGCCGTGAGTTCTCCAGGAAGTCTTCGTGACTTTCTTTGATTTCTCCAGGCTTTGTTGATCGATACTCACTCCTCAGAGAGATCTTCCACCATCTGAAGATTACCTGTGATTGGACAGAAGGCGAGAGGAATAAAACTGATTTCCATCCCAACAGCTCCATTTAGGTTTGGGGTCTTCAAGAGTCACTGTCGTAGGCACATGAGCCTGTGTGCCCAACGTCAGCTATAGCTTCCCAATCTGGCACCACGTCAGATTTGAAGTTAGGTCTGTGCATCAGTGAACATTTCCCTTAGTGATTAAAGTCACAAAATCAACATGCCGAAGGGAATCTTAAAAATCTATCAAGTCTGGGCCGGCCCGGTGGTGCAGCAGTGAAGTGAGCATGTTCCTCTTTGGCGGCCCAGGGTTTGCTGGTTTGGATCCTGGGTACGGACATGGCATCGCTTGGCAAGCCATGCTGTGGTAGGCATCCCACATATAAAGTAGAGGAAGATGGGCACGGATGTTAGCACAGGGCCAGTCTTCCTCAGCAAAAAGAGGAGCATTGGCAGCAGATGTTAGCTCAGGGCTAATCTTCCTCAAAAAAAAAAAAAAAATCTGTCAAGTCAATTGACGCAAAAATCACCCAGAGCCAAATATCTGTTTCTTGAAGATCTCTGAGAATAGAGACTATCTAACCTGGGGAACAAATTGCAGAGTAATTCCTCCACTACCTGAGTCCCTTCCCGTCTACAGGGCAGACAAGATGAGTGGATGCTGTTCTCATGGAGTTGACAGTTACATGGACAGGGCCGGGGAAAGCACCATTATGCTTTCTTTTTTTTTTTTTTTTTTTTTTTAAAGATTTTATTTTTTCCCTCTTCTCCCCAAAGCCCCCCGGTACATAGTTGTGCATTCTCCGCTGTGGGTTCCTCTAGTTGTGGCATGTGGGACGCCGCCTCAGCGTGGTCCGACGAGCAGCGCCATGTCCGCGCCCAGGATTCGAACCGACGAAACACTGGGCCGCCTGCAGCAGAGCCCGCGAACCCAACCACTCGGCCACGGGGCCAGCCCCCCCATTATGCTTTCTTTGATGCATGAAAGTGTCATGACACAAGACGCTTCTGGGCAACGGACCTGCTGATAGTCCCTTCGACTTCTGGGAGCACTTTGGTTTACAGAAGCAAACCTCATTTCCATGGTTATGGACCGCACTTAAGTTCTATGTTGGTTTCATGGCAATGTCAACTACGGGGCCTGATGAGAAGCCCTTGAAGCTTATCCAACTTATCTCACGTTTTTGGACCTGTAATGAAACTGGGTAGTTATTTGAGATGACAAAACTCCTACCAACTTGAGAAACAAACCAAGCTATTTCTGTACTACGGCTGCAGGGGAAGATGATTAAGGAGACAGACGGTGCAGAGAAACTGGTTGGCTTCCCAGTTCTAGATTCTTCTCTGGCAAGCATTACCAGGCAAGGTTAAAATTGTGTTCAGGCAGGATCTGCCCACGGCAAAATGGTTAAACAGGTCAAACTTGCTATCGGTGACTTCCTTTATTTACAGTTTCCTCCTCCGCCATCCCCACCCACCCAGGGATCCCTGGGGTCCTCACAGGTCCTGGGTGCATCTTCTTGAGCCACTGTCCTGGTCTCTACCACTGCTCCGCCCCTGTCCCTAGACCCTTCTTGGTGCTCGTCTAGGAGCCCCATGGCCTTTGAGCTGCACAACCCCCTCTTTCCTCCTCACTCCTTTCCCCTTGCCTGAAGGCCGGGGCCTCAGCTAGCTCTCCTCTCCTTCTAGAGCAGCCTTCCCCTGGCCTGTTACCTCTTGAGGCCCTTCTCCCTCCCTGCTCCCTCGCCAATCCCCTTCCCTGAAGTCTGAAAGATAACTGAACTCGCAGGAGAGTAGAGACTTTACACCATCTTACCTAACGCCCTGCCTAAGAGAAAGCAGGTCTTCAATAAATGCTTCTTGAGTGAATTAAAGGGTGCTTTTCATTCAGATTTGGTTGCTAATCACTATAGGGGCTGAGAAAAATATATAGACCTAAGTTACAAGACTCCACAATCTCACAAAATCATAGCAGCTGACTCCTGTCAGAAAATCCCTCATCTTGCCACTTCGGACTTTCCTGAGCATGAGGCTCACCAAAATCGTCCTCTTCAGCATCTTCCTGCACCAACTCCATGGAGGTGAGGGCAGATCCCTCTGACAGGGTTGTCATAACAAAATGCCACAGACTGGGGGCTTCAACAACAGAAGTGTATTTCCTCGCAGTTCTGGAGGCTGGAAGGCCAAGATCAAGGTGTCAGTGGGTTTGGTTTCTGCTGAGGCCTCTCTCCTTGGCATGTGGATGGCTGCCTTCTTGCTCTGTCTGCACGTGGTCCTCCCTCTGTGCATGTACATCCCTCGTGTCTCTTCCTCTTCTTACAAGGACACTGGTCATATTGGATCAAGGCCTCACCCTTATGACCTTATTTAACCTTAATTACTTCTTGAAAGGCCCTACCCCCAAATACAGTTACACTGTGGGTTAGGGCTTCAGCATAAGAATTTGAGGGGTGCACAATTCACTCTATCACAGAAGGGTATCAAGGATCCAGCATTACAGTAGAAAGAGCAGGAATTTTGGAGTGAGACAGGCCTAGCTGGTTTATTTGGTCTCTCTGCACTTGTATTTTCCTTTTCATTGCCTTTCTGTTAAATATCACTAAAATTAATACGAAATATTATAAGTAATATTTCCTTTCTATTGAATGAAGGTGCCGGGAAGTCTGAATCTAATGCTACGCTCTTTATACCACATCATGTAGAACTTTGAGACCTAACCGGGAAGTCAGGAATAACTCAGTCCATCTCCGCAAGTCATACAGATGAGCAAAGCATCTCAAAGAAATCACGTTAGAAGTGATAGGTCACCTTCCCTCCAACCTAACTACTAGCTGTTAGATTACAACGACAGCCGGTCTCAGATTGAATTCTGCCACAACAAAGACATTTATCACCAAACAGACACCACGGGAGTCCAAAACAAACTTCTGGAAGCTCAGTGTAGCTCCCCACCTGACGTCCACGTGGGCGCTCTGCAAGAACCTCCCCAGGAAAGTTCCTCTTTGGGTCGAGTGCACCTATATTATAATGACATCATCAGCTACCCTTCTAGCCAGATCGAGCAACTAAATCCTTGGTTAAGTGGAGGATTCGGAACAAATGGAGTTCTGTTCAGGGAGCTACTCCAAAAACGTGATGTTACCCAGCTCACTTCTCTCATTGAAAAAAAGGCAGGGACGCTTGCTCCGTCTTACTTGTCAGCCTCATATCTTGCATGTCATTCATTTCATCAGTGAAAAATTATGTCTGACGTCCCTTATACTAATGAATGAACCCTCTGGTACTGATTTAGAAGGCAATATTTGAAGTGCTTGCCAGGACACTGACCCAAATGAACTTGCACATAGATACACATCCTCCTGGCTCCTCTGAGGTATTTGAAGTCAATTACTGAGAATCTAACACTTGCCTGAGGAAACATGGCTGGCTAAAACCAGAATCCAAGCCTCCTCACCCGAACTCATAAACACAGGGCTTGTTCAGAGGCACAAGCTTTCTTTACCTACGACCCTTACACTACAACCCCTCAGGCCACTGCTGCAGACAGTACACAGAAACGGAACATTCCGAATCACAACCTAGCCTTGGCAGGACTCGATTATGTTCCACATACTGTACTTATTAAAACAGAAAAATATAAAACAGAAAATACATTTTCTACCACTTATTGTCTCTCAGGTTGGTAAAGATTTTTTTGTAAGCGACAAAACCCAAAATTGGTGAGGACAAGGAAAAATAGGAATCCTTAATAATCATTGAAAGGCGTGTAAATTGGTTTGGCAATACCTGTCAAAAATCTTAAGGTCATTCATGCCCTTTGACCCGGATATTCTATTTCTAAAAATTTATTCTAAGGAATTTATCAGAGACGTGTACAACGTTTTTCACATAAGAACGTTTGTCAGAGGTTAATTATAATAATGCAAAATCAGAACCACCTAAGGGTCCAATAGTTGGGACTGGTTAAATAATTATGGCACATTTGGATGATGGAATACTCTGCAGCCAATAATTTATGAAAAAATAATTAGCAACACAGAACATTAACGATCATTTGTTAAAAGACTCAAAAGTGTATACACCACTGATCCAAATATTGAAAGAAAATATTTATATATGCAGGGGGAAGCCGCTTCAGCCTGGCAGTACATGCGACTGTTTCATATGACAGACAGAGCCACGATGTATTCCCCAGATATTTGTGAATTGGGTGCTATTATGACATTAGCTTATCTTAAGTCATATATACATATAAAGTATTGTTATATATCTATTACTATTTTGAAAACCTTAAAATCTATAAATACTGTTTTAAACATCTTGCTCTGATGAACTGTGAATGTTTTGTGATGACTATGCCTGCAAGAAACATTACAGAAGAGCTTCCCACGGCTTTTGCGAGACTGTTCGGATCTGGCTGCAGTGTGGGTTTCACTGTGCTTTCCCCAGGTTTTGTGAATCTTCCAACCACCTGTGAGCCATGCATGACTATCTTTTTACAGATGAAGAAACCAACTGCGGACTAGTTAGATAACTTGTACCAGCTCCTCTCGCCCAGGCAGCAGCTGACCTTGCAAGCCTAGTTCTTTGTCATTGCCTCATACTGGCTCCAGGAAGGATGGGCAGTCCGCCTCGTTATAGGATAGGCACCGTTATTTGGCATCTTAACAGAGATCATGTAACCACTGGCAGAATTCTTTAAAAAATTTTATTTATATTTAGCATATTTTTAGATTTCTTATATATTTCCAGTAAATCTTTGTAAGAAACTTGAAAATTGAGCTTACTTTTAAAAGAGAAGTTTAAGATTTCTCAGTAATCCTCCTGGCATCTCTTCTGCACAAATTATTAAGTCAAAATGATGAGGCATTTATCATTCACACAGTGAAGGCCCCTAAAGCTTAGGTCCTTTTCCCTCCTGGGACAGCAACTCACTAGGCAGCCCTTAAAGGGGCACTGGGAAAAAGCCGGTCCAGTTGGGCAGCTCAGCATTTGACAATATTTGGGC